CGTGATCGGAGACTGCCAATAAACGTATAGCATTTCCCTTGGTTAGGGACTAGTGAGCAAGGGGGTTTTTGCCAGGTATTACTTTAGTTCTTACAGTGCCTAATTACAATTCTGTGTCCATACAAACTATGCCTTCTTTTTTACCAACTAAAAAAGGGTTTGCAGTAATCGAATGATTGCAAATGCATCTGTTAAGTGTGGCTACCATCCTCTTAAGTGCCTGTATTCCTTTAATCGTCGTGGGAGAAGCAATGTTGAGCAGAGCTTTTATCTGATCGGGACTTGCTTCCATTCCTCGCTGAGTGATGATATAGCCAAGGAATTTCCCTAACCCTACCTTGAAGGCACATATCGCTACATTCAACTTCATTCTGAATCTTTGAAGGATCTCGAACACTTCTCAAAGATTTTCCAAATTATGACCGCTTTCTCGAGATTTGATCACCATATCATCAATGTACACCTCTAGATTCTGTCTTACTAGGTCATGGAACATCTTTGTTACCCAGGTTGCCCCCACATTCTTTAATCCAAACCACATCACCTTGTAGTAGAATAATCCTCCAGGAGTGATGAATGCGGTCTTTTCCTAATTGTCCAGATTTATTGGTATCTAGATGATACCCTCGATATGCATCAAGAAACCTCATTCTCCAATGCCTCGATGTGGAATCCACCAGTTGATCGATCTTTAGCAGAGGAATTTTGTTCTTTTGGCAGGCCTGATTTAGATTGGTAAAGTCAACACTTACTTTTCATTTTCCATTCTTCTTTTGCACAATAACAATATTGGATAGCCATTTTGGGTATTGAACTTCCTTGATGGCTTCTGCTTCTAATAGTCTTGTCATTTCTTCCTTGATCGCCTTGGTGTGGTAGGGTGTCGACCTTTTGCTTTTTTGGATTATCAAGTTGTAGTTTGGGTCTACATTGAGCTCGTGGCATGCCATCTTCAGATAAACGTCTTCCATCTCGTAAGGAGTCCATGCGAACATGTCTCTATATTGTAGTAGAAAGTGGGTTAGTTGGTCTTTGTCTGTCGCGTTGAGGCTTTTCCCAATGAGAAAGAATTTTTCTTCGTCTTCTGGGTCGATCGGCACCTTTTCCAGTTGTTCAGTGCTATTTGCGGTGAGCTCTGTGCCAACCAATTCTTTGCATACTTCTTTGGCGCGAACTTCCTAGATTCTTTTGTTAGATAAAGACCCTACCAAGCATTGCTTAGTGAATATCTAATTTCCTCTAATTTCATAATGCCATCTCTGATTAGAAATTGTATGACTTGGTGAAAAGTGGACGGAATTGCCTTCATCTTGTGGAGCCATGTTCTTCCAATTATTGCATTGTATAGTGAGGGGACGCTCCCCATCTAGAACTCTACTTGTTGAGTTACGACATCTGCTCTTATTGGCAAGATCTTTTCCAAGGGATAAATCGGGCTTAAATTAAAGTCGAACAGCGATGACTCAGCTGGATGTAGGTCTTCATGTGACAAACCCAATTTCTTAAAAAATTCATAATACATGGTCTATGAAGAGCTTCCTTGGTCCACCAGCACCCTTGTAACAGTAAATCTTTTGATTTGCAGGGTTATTACCAAGGCATCGTTGTGCAGGTGTTGAGCCTACATCAGATTGTCGTTGGAAAATGAGATCTTTAGCTCAGATGGTGGTGATCTTTTTGTGGGGGTTTCAGATAGGAACATGACCCCCTTTAGGTATGCTGACCTCCTTGTCTATTCTCTTATCTAGTTTATTTGCTTCTTTGGAGGGATTGAGCATATCATATTAATGGTTGGGATTGGTTGAATGCTTCCATTTTTGTTGCCATGCTTGCCTTTGCGGCTTGCTGAGTAGTCAACAAATGCCTACTAGTGTTTGCTTTGGACAAGTTTTTCTAAGAATTGCTTTAGGGATTTGCAATCTTCGATGAGGTATCCATAATTTTTGTGATAGGAACACCTCATCTTTCGATTTTTGAGAGACGGATCCCCAACCATTTTCTGAGGCCATAAGAAATACGACTCATTCTGGATCTTCATGAGGATCTGGTATATTGGTTTGTGAAGGTGGTGACAATCTCCTTGTATGCTTCCTTCTGAGGCTTGGGTAGGATCCAGATTTCCTTTATTCATTTCTTTGGCTTTTGGACTGGGGTTGCATTGGGCTCTACTCCTCTGCTCTTTTCAGATTTTCCTTGATCTTACAATGTTGCTCCATGCAGCTTATTAAACTACCAACGTCAATGAGGGGTTTCTTGGTTGGGGATTGTCACTTTTCTCTAGCTTTTACTTTCCCATTTTTTCATCACAAGGAGCACCTCCTCCACTTTTGGTGCTCGACTATTGGTGATAAAGTGTGAGATGAATGTCTACTACAGTTGTCTCTAATCGTTGATAGATTGGGCTTCTAACTTGTAGTACCATATGAGGGCCATCTCTCCCAGACTGGAAGAGAACATTCTGTACATAATTGGCCAAATTTTGCTCCATAGGGTCATGGCTTGCGTGTAATTCTGTATGTGGCTACTGTCATATAGGTTGAACTTTAGAGGCATGAATCTCTTCGGTGGGTTAGCACTGTTGATGGCTTTGGAGAAGGAAGAGGCCATTTCTTCAGAAAAAGTTTCTTTCGAATCGGTTTTGGGCTTTCTCTAGTATGTTGATCGAGCCAGCTCCCTACGTCATTTTTTGGGAGATTGGGTGAACCATTCTGGTTGGTATGACATCTCTTCGACCTTCAGCTAGGGTGGTTGCTGGCCATTTGGCTTGCGTCCATTTGGGGGACATCCTTTTTGTTCGGACGCTTTGCCTCTCATATGCCTTTCTCCAGTCCTCCTTCTTTCGGACTTGTTATAATTCTTTTAGGGTCTCGATTTGGGTAGTGAGTTGGTCTAGTAATTGATTTTCCAGATCATGTTCCCTTGGGGGAGATCATGCCTACCGAGTCTTCTGGTGGTATTTTAGAATCATGGCCAAAGTTTTGGCCTAGCATGTTCCTGATCAAAGTATGCTGATGATCACTTGGTATCCTTTGTAGAGAAGGATGGGCACTTATCTTTTCGTTGCTCCCACAGATGACGCCAATTGTAGAAGGTGAAATTATCTCCCAAGGAAAACGAGATGATGCACCCAATCCTTTGCCCTCTATAAGAGAAACCAACGTTAGTGATCACTCTCGACTAGGGTAGGTAGGGGGGACTCTCCGACAATCAAGTCAGCATACTAATTGGCCATAGCACATAAATATTTAAACGAGAAATATTTATGGAGTAGAAGTTAATCTAGATTAGTAGAATTGGATTTGTTACCACTCACTTGTCCCCTTATGCTTTGCTTGCTTACTCATTTATAGCTATTCTGGCTCAAATTTCATTCGACGGATCTTGTTTTGATTGAAGGGTTCTGCCTATACCTATTTTGGTCGGGCAACTTGCCAAGTTGCCCTTGTCTTTGATCGTTGGATCTCTGTCATATGGACGGCCTGCACTACTAGAAAAAACACTTTCCGTGACGAACATGTTTGGTCGCGAAAAGTACCATATTTGGTCGCTTAAACCTTTTCGCGACCAAAATATGTTGGTCACGAGTTGGTCGCTAAAGCCTCGTCACAGATAGTTTTCTGCGACCAAAAAAGCCTTTGGTTGCTAAAAGTGACCATTCGCGACCAACTTTTTTGGTCGCGAAAAGTATAATTCATATTAGCCAAAAGTAAACTTTTAGCGACCAAAGATAAGTTGGTCGCCAAAAGTCAGCGCCTTGACCCAAAAAAAATAATTCTTTTGTGCTCCCTGGGACTTGAACTCCTGACCAAGGAGTCACCATGCACTCAATCCACTCTACCACTCTCCAATAACATACTTCTTGTTCATATTTGACAAAAAAAATATATAACCCATAAAAATTGGGTTATATATTATTTTATAAAACTTTTAATGCGTAAATAGAAAAATAGCATGTAATTACTGTAGTATCATTTTTTTAAAAAATTTACCCCGCCATAACTTTTCGCAGCCAACTTTTTTTTTTGGTCGCCAAAGGGTAATCTTCCGCGACAAAAAAAGCCTCTGGTCACCAATAGTAGACTTTTCGCGACCAACTTTTTTTTTTGGTCGCCAAAAGGTGATCTTCCGCGACCAAAAAAGCCTTTGGTCGCCAATAGCATACTTTCCGCGACCAACTTTTTTTTTGGTCGCCAAAAGGTAGTCTTCCGCGACCAAAAAAGCCTTTGGTCGCCAATAGTATACTTTCTGCGACCAACTTTTTTTTTTGGTCGCCAAAGGGTATACTTTCCGTGACCAACTTTTTTTTGATCGCCAAAAGGTGATCTTCCGGGACCAAAAAAGCCTTTGGTCGCCAATAGTATACTTTCCGCGACCAACTTTTTTTTTTTGGTCACCAAAAGGTGATTTTTCGCGACCAAAAAATTGTGGTCGCCAAAAGTTAAATTTTAGTCGCAGAAAGTGGACTATTTGCGACAAAAAAAAATAGGTGGTCGCCAAAAGTGTTTTTTCTTGTAGTGCTGGATGATGCCAAACGTTAGTGACCAGTTCGTCAAGTGTCATGTTCATAGGATTAATTTGATCGGATGACTCCGTTTCTTGCTAGGCCCAGCCTATGCTTTAGCCTTGTCTGTTGTACGGTTGTCACCGTTGGATGATACCTAATCCGACGTCTCTATTTTATTTTACAGATTTGTCTTCTAGGAGATTACCTTTTATATTTATTTGTCCCTCCATACATCTTGATTGCATGCCAAGTTGTTGCCAGTTGCCCTTTGTGGGCTTCAAGGGATGAGTTTGGACTTAACACTTTCTGTTTTGGGCTAGCGTGATTGGGTTTGGGTTTGGGCTTATATTTTTTCCTATTGCAAGAGGATCTGCACTCGAAGTAGGGGTAATTGAAAACAAAAGCAAGAGGACTTATACTATTAAAAAGATATTGATAAAATCTTTAGAGGGTTCACTCAGCGCACCACCTGATGAAACCTATTTTTCGTTTGCAGGTATACGGCGTGAAGTGGATCATTCGCTTGGCAGCAACAAGGTAGAAATTCCGACTCACCACAATAATCATAACAAAATAGAATCCATTTAAGTATAGGGAAAATTAGTGAAAAGCCTATTTTCATGAATTTGTTTAGTCATAAATATTATTGAAATAGTTATGACCCAATAAATTCTGTGTATGAAATTGTATATTAGAAATCTTTTTTTATTGAAATTAGATGTTATTCAATGATAATTTTATCCTTATTTTGGTCAACATGCTAATATTTTTTTTTTATTCTTTTCTTGATTGGTGAAAGTCAATTGTTAGTTATAGATTAGCATCTATGGGAGTTAGTCTCCTTACTTTTTATAATTACCAAGTGCTTGCCACTTTAATTCAACTCCCTTAAGAAGAGTTAAACCCATGACCTCCCCAGAGGGATAAATCCTTAGAAAAATCATGATGGCCAACTTAGCTTAGTTGGTTAACATGATCATATTAATTAATTTATTTATTTTTTTCAAAACATTAAAATTTTACAACTTTTAAAATACACATCTATTTTTTTATTTATTTATAAAATACAGATTTTTTTTATGAAAAAATTTATTTTATTCCCTTGTGATTTGAGGCCAAAGTACTTTACCCTTATAGTTTAAAATAGCCACTCATGTGATTTTGAACTTAAATGCAACTGTTCACATAATTAACTAGAGATGTAAAATGAATATAACATCCTCTCTCTCTCTCTCTCTCTCAATACACAGTTTATAATGTTTAATATTAATTCAATCCCTATGCGTTCTCTCACACTCTCTCTCTCTCTCTCAATACACATAGTTTATAATGTTTAATATTAATTCAATTAAAGCACAAGTAATTATAAATTCTTAATTATTTATTGTAATTCTTAACTTTTCATTTTAATTATATTTTAAATCACAATTAATCTTAAATATTTAATTAGTTATTGTAATTGCTAAATTTTAAATTCAATTTTAATTTAATCATATTTTAGATCAATTCCTAATTTTATGTATTTTATATTTCCTTAAAATATTTAGTTATATTTTATATTTTAGATTAATCGTTCATTATATTATATTATATTATTTTTTAATTAACATATTAATCTTTTTATTGTATTAATTTCATTTTATTATTTCAAAAATATAAACCCACCATAAAATGGTGTGTGTGATACACCTTCCGTTAGTTTGAATATAAAAATAACAGTGACACTTTAGACCAAAATCAAATGGGGACTTTTTGATTATATTTAAACCATAGGAGGTGAAATGAATTTGATCACTTTTTTTATAAATCGTTCTCAATTAAATACAAAATTATGTAAAATAAAAAAAGTACACTTTTTGAGAATTTGAAAGTAAAAATTTTTTAGCTTTTAAAATTTCATACTTTTGAGAAATATTTTATCATAGGACTCATCATCATCACATTATAATAGTGTGACTTTTGTAATTAGTGTGAAAGTTGTAAATTTGAACATTTATACTTTTAATTATTTAGATATTAATTTTTAGAAAGTATGAAAGTTAGTATGAATACTTTTAAAAAATAATCACACTTTTTAAAATTTTATAATTTATAATTCATTGAATGTGTGAATATTTGTATTTTTTTAAAAATTCACAAGTAAATTACAGCTTGCACCCCTGCACGCCCTTATACATGAAAAATATCTGGACAAAGCTAAGGCAATAGTTGAACAATTTTCCTCATTCTAAATACAACAGGTCGAAAGAGATCAAAATAATCACGCAGATACGTAGTTAGCCTTGCCTCCGCAATCAACCTAGATGCAAAACGAAAAATCGAGATTGGCATCATTGAAACACTTAAGTATTGAAGGAAAAGTCCAGCTTTTGAACATCCTGCCAGGTGAAAGCTGGATGTGCCCTATCATGGCGTACTTATCTGAAGAAGTATTGCCAAATCATAAAAAGAAAGCACATTGACTTCGATAGCAAGCTATGCGCTTTTGGCTAAATTAAGAAAACTAGCTGTTTAGAAGATTACACTTGGGGCCCTATGTAACACCCTTAAAATAATACATATAAACCCAACATTCTTGACATGCATAGACATAAGAGAATAAAGCATATTTCCATTTATTAGAGTATTAAGTACGAAAGTATTACATGTTGACATCAAAAGTAAATGCCCTACGGGCTTACAACTTTCCAAGTCAACACTAGGTTACAACAAAAGAAGAGTTCTAACTCTTTATACAAAATAAGCCTTTGGCTTGATTTACATGTAATACAAAAAGATAACAACAAAAGAGTCTTTCAGCCTCTAGCCTCCCAAGCTACGTCCTTGGAGGTGACATATCACCTGAACCTGAAAATGATGTCCCATAAAGGGTGAGCCAAAGTCCAGCAGAGATATACTAAACCAAGTATGAGCAATAATTAAAACATTAGCATTCGATAAATGGTTAACACTATAAGCCAATTTTACAACACATCCCAGTTCCATGACAAATACATCTATGTTTCATTCCACTTTCTTTTACTTATCCAATTCACATTCATAAACCTGGCTCATTATCTAGCCAAATAATTAAGTGAGACTACAACTCATATTAAGACACTTCCATTATTCACAATTCACATGAGACTACAACTCATATTAAAACACTTTTATACTTCAATTATCTACGTTATGCAAACGCAATTGGGATTTCGGGACTTTCACCCTGGACACTCCGGCCAACTTAGTTATCAATGGAGTCCATCCCCTATCTCCTCCCAAATAGGTTTGAGAGTACATCCCTTATCTCATCTCAAACCATGGAGTACATCTCCTATCTCCTCACAAACAATATACATATATGTATTTAAAAACTTATCATATACAATGATTAATCAATACACATATTCGATGTATTATTCCAACCGTCATATTCAATGACATATTCCAGGTGATTAGTTTCAGTTTTCTCTAATCAACATACAGTGTCTACAACAATCAAGACTATCCTCCACTGATAGCCCAAGGCAGTTATCTCTAAACAGATAATAAATTTATCTAACAGATAAAATATCAACATTTTCATAGGTGAGTGATTAACTAATCCAACTATACCATTCAATCCCATAATTTTCCAATTTCATGATTTTCATCTCAATTTCCCCCTTTCTCCAATTAATTATTCAATGTAACTAGGGCATTTTTCCCCATTTTTCGAATATCGATCCTAAGACCAAATTCCACCAATTCGACTCATAAACCCCCATTCCCAAGGCCTTATATGCACATGGAGCTTTAAAACACAAAATCCCCCCTTTATAATTTCAACACAAACCCCACTTTTATTCCAAAATTTCCATAATTCACCAATTAATCAAAATGACTAAAATTTGTGTCAAAACCAGGGTATCCCTACCTCGAATTAAGAGACTCAAAGGAGAAGAAGACGAAACTCAAGATGCTTCAAATCCAAAGATTTTCGGATCAAAACGAAGCCCACACCAAGCTCTACACTTTATACAAAGGAACTAGGGTATAAGGCTCCTAGAACATGGAGTATTTGTAGAGAGAAGGTATGTAGAGAGAGAGGGAGCAGCCGTTCTAGGGTTTGAGTAAAAGAGATAAAGAAAAGTGAAGAAGAAGCTGCTGCTGCGAACTGATATATTCGAGCCTCGCTCGAGCGAAGGAGTGGTCGCTGGAGTGACCAGACACAAAGAAACCTCGCTCGAGCGCAGAAAGCCTTGCTCGAGCCAACAACACGAAGCTTCAGGTCTGCAACCCAGAAACACGCTCGAGCGAAGAAATCCAAAACACAGTCCTCGCTCGCTCGAGCCAAGAAATGCAACCTTTAGGTCCAAACTAGACGTAGACGCAAGCTCGAGCGCAAGACTTCTCGCTCGAGCCAATAGATACACCACTCAACTCTCGCTCGAGCGAAGGAACCCTGGCTCGAGCAAAGGAACTAAAACACAGAGCTCGCTCGAGCGACAAAAGCCTCGCTTGAGCGAAGACACCAAAAATTGGGCAGTAACCATTTGTTTCAAAACACACCCAACCTGTTACAAACCTGCCCAACACATCTCAAAACTCAAATACAAAGAATTAAAGGACGGAAATGAAACATATGCAACAACCGACATCCACAGAACCGAGTTCGGAATACAACAACCAAGGGAGGAAAAACCAGGATCGCTATAACCTCCCTCCTTTAAAGAATTTCATCCCTGAAATTTGATATAAGTTTCAAAAACATGATTTTTCAATTCTCAACAATATTACCATTCAATGTTCAACATCCTGACCCATTACCGGTCATCCCATCTCTTTTCAAGAGGCAATTCACAATATAATTCAATATGCATTAACAACATGCTTTTCTTTGAAATTCAACAAATTCCAATACCATATTCCACCATTCCATAACATACTCAATGTTAATGATATATTTGCATTTCTACAATACATTTAACATATACAATGTCAAATTAAACTTCCATTTTCAAGGCATATTCGATAATACTTCCATAAACCGAAACATATACAACGTTTTACAACTTAAGACATATTCAATGTTCTTAAAGTTTACCAATACAACAAAATATTCAACATATGCTCAAACATCCACAAATAGATCCGGATACTTCTCTCGGACCTCCAATTCACGTTCCCAAGTGGCTTCCTCCACCCCGTGATATTTCCACATAACTTTTACCAAGGGAATGGTCTTGCCTTACAAGACTTGATCCCGCCTATCCAAGACCCTCACCGGTCTCTCCTCATACGAGGCATCCTCATCAACCTCTAAGTCAGTCCAATCTAATACATGTGACGGATCCGGCTCGTACTTCCGAAGCATACTAACATGAAACACGTCATGCACTCCGAACAACTGCGACGGTAAAGCCAAATGGTAGGCAACCTCGCCAATCCTCTCAAGGATCTTGAAAGGGCCAATAAACCGAGGGGACAACTTTCCACTCTTCCCAAACCTTATCAAACCCTGCCTAGGTGATATTTTTAGAAAGACATGATCACCCGCCTTAAATGCCAAAGGCCTT